ATCCAGACAGACAGTGGGGATCCTTGCAGACTGGATACAGCCTGGAGAACAGGCTAGGCAACTGCTTGCCATGGAAAATGCAGTCCTCATTTGCCCACCTGTTACCAAGGATCACATGCGCTGGGGCCCCATAGCACTGGATTCTGTAGTAGGCCACACTACCACTGGCCACGTCCAGCTTCCAGCAGCCCAGGAGGCCAGATGGTGTGGCTGGTCCATGGTCTGTATGTTTGATACTCCTGCCATACAGTGATGTAAGATTTATGTTTGCTAAGCATAAAAACAATTCTGCTGGTGTCTCTTATTTTTTCAAACAAGTTTATGCAAAAAATAATTAAAATACAAACAACTTGAAACAAAACACTTCCCATAAACCCTGTCCTATCTTAATTTTTATGTCTCAGCAATTTATAGGCCAACATTTTCAAAACAGTTTGGATACTCTGCCTACAAAGCTTAACACGCCCATCACCATTAGATCTTCAAGAATGCTCAAAATGCTCTCCTCTTCTGAAAATCTGCTAAATGTTACAAGCTCTAAATGTGAGCTTAGCTTCTTCAAAAAAATGCTGTGCTGATTATAGGGTCATGAGCCGTTTTGAAAATGTGAACTTAAATTAATATACTGGAATACTCACATTTCTTTATATTCATTTAAAGGCTTATGAAACAATACTTGTATAGCCAGAATGTTCTGTATTCCTTGATTCAGTTAGCAAAGAATACAATAAAGGATGTTCTTTAGTCCCAGTGTTATCAAACACCCATGGAGCAGTCTCTCATGATTTTTAGGAAAAGCCAAACAAGCTTTGTAGAAACATTAGTGACCATTTGGATTTGTAGCATTCACAGAAAATGTCACTAGGAATTCCACGTGTGTGACCCTTATGGATAAGCGGAGAAGGAAGCAGAGAGTAGTTGCCCTGCGATAAGTAGGTCAAATATGGAACTGCCTTGAAGAGGCTTTTCTTTGTGCTAGTACTGGCTGGTGGCTGACTGGTGCTAAGTTTGCCTAGTGCCTGGTGTGTGTGTGTGTGTGTTTGAGTTTTTTCCTCCCCTCTTCCCCTTGTGGTGCGTGTTTCCTTTTCTGTCTGTCTGTCTGTCCTTTCCTTTCCTTCACTGGAGTGACGGAGTGACAGGTACTGTTCTGCGTGGGGCTGGTTTAGGTAATTTAGGGCTGGAGTTAAGATAGACCGTCTTACAAAAAGCAGTCCCAGCAAACTGTGTGAGCAGCAAGCAGAGGGCACCAAACAGAGAGGGAGTTTGGTTAGGGAATTGCCTGTGGAGGGAGCCAGAGAGCAGGTGACTCTGTGTGTGTATGTGTGTGCGCGCGCGCGCGCAAGGGTCTTGGTGTGGGTGTTTGGTGTGTGGGTTCTTGTGGTGTGCCTTTTCCCCCTTCCCCCTCTCTCTTTTTTTCTCCTTACAAAATAGGTGTTCTCCAGGGAGGAAAGGAGGCACAAATGGAGTCTGGGCCAGCTGTTGTGACCTGCATGGGATGTGCCAGGTCCCCGTTCTTCCTACAGGGTTAGGAGCACTTAATCTACACCAAGTGTAAGCTGATGTCTGTCCTTGAGGAGAAGATTCAACAATTGGAAGCATGGGTATTCGCATTACATTGCATCAGGGACCACAAAGATTACTTGGACAAGAGTTATAAGAGGCTGGTCTTGGAGATGCTAAAAGGCAACGAGGAGAAGTGGCAGCATGTGACTACTCAAAGAAGGAGGGCCCACAGAATTGAACAGCAGCAAACTGGAGTCAGCAACTGCTTTCAAGCACCCTGCAGTGGAACTGCTGAGGAAAAGGCAGAGGAGAGGACATATATATGCAAGCGTGAGGCAGAGGAGGCAGCAACCTAGAGAGCAGGAACTGCAAGTCCCTAAGACCAGGGGCTGCAGGACCACTGCAGCAGAAGAAATAGAAAAATGGTGGTTAGCTGGTGACTCACTTCTGTGGGGGACAGGCACCAATCTTTCATCCGGAATGCAGAATGTCAGAGAGAGACTACCAAAGCTCACCCATCCTTCAGACTACCCCTTCCTGCTTGTCCATGTAGGCACCAACGATACTGCCAGGAAAGACACTGAGAAGATCAGGGGTGACTATGAGGCTCTTGGGAAGAGGATTAAGGAGTTTGGAGCACAAATGGTGATCTCATACATTCTGTAGAAGGCAAGGGTTTAGGCAGAGACCATCTTATTCTGGAAGTGAACATGTGGCTGAGATGGTGTTGATGGTGGTATTGACGCGAAGGCACTGGCTTCTTAGACAATGGGTGGATGCTCTTGGGAGGAGGACTGTTATTAAGAGATGGAATCCATCCAAGGAGAACATCTTTGGGCATTGTCTGGCCAACCTATTAAGGGATGCTTTGAACTAATTTCTATGGGGGATAGTGAGGAAAACCTTCCAGCAACACAGCACACAGTACAGAGGGAAAGGAATTGAAGAAGCAACTTAACTCTGGGTAAGGGCCAGAGAGCTACAGGACTGCAACAAGTGGTGCAAAAGGGAGGTGAGTAGGTCAAGATGAAAAAATATGTCCAATGCATGTATACAAATGCAAGAAGTACGAAAAATAAACATGATGAGCTGGAAGCTGCAGCCTGTGGAAAGAACTATGATCTGACCGGTATCACAGAGACCTTGTGGGACAGCTCTTATGACTGCAATGCCATGAGGAGGCAAAAAGGAGGACACAGGGATTTACAGACTGGTTAGCCTCACTTTACTACCCGGGAAATTACTGGAGCATATCCTAAGGAAGGCCATTTGCAAGTATCTGGAGGAGGAAAGGCTGATCACAAGCAGCCAGCATGGATTTATGAAAAACAAATCATGTCAAACAAACTTGATCTTTTTTGACAAAGTAACTACTTGTGGGGGATGAAGGGAATGCTGTGGATACAGTGTATCTGGACATCAGCAGGGCTTTTTGACAGGGTCCTGTACACCCTTTCAAACATGTTGGAGAAGTGTGGGCTAGATAAAACTGCCAGGTGGACAGATAACTCACCAGCTGCAAGCAAAGGGTAATTATTAATGGGTCCATGTCAGAATGGCAAAAGGTTTTGAATGGAGACCTACAGGGGCCTTTCCTGGGTCTGGTGCTGTTCAACGTGTTTATTTACAATTTGGATGCTGGCATAGAAAGTTTTTTGAACAAGTTTGCTGACAAATCAAAACTGGGAAGTACTGCAAACAGGTTGGAGGATGTCAGTGCAAAAGTTGAATGCGGTTTTGTGACGCATTAATAGAAACTTTAGGTGCAATACATGGGAGGTGATAGTGCCTCTCTACTTGACACTTATAAGGCCTCATCTGGTGTACTGTGTGCAGTTCTAGGCTTCACATTTTAAAAATGACATGGAGAAGTTAGAGAGGGTCTAGAGGCAGGCAACAAAAGGGCTTGGAAAGGAAATCATATGGGGAGAGGCTGAAGGAGCCAGGCTTGTTCAGCTTGTGAAAAAGGCACTTAAAAGGGGACAAGATAGCAGTCTTCAAACACTTTATGGGTTGCCATAAAGAAGAGGGAAGGCACATTTTCTCTCTTGCTACAGAGAGGAGGATGTGGACAAATGGCCTAAAGTTACAGCAAAGTAAATTTAGATAGTGTATCTGGAAAAAAACTTCTCCACTGTTAGAATAGTGAGGCAGTGGTATAACTGCCTTGGGAAGTTGTGGTCTCTCCATCACTGGAGGTGTTCAAGAAGAGGTTGGACAGCTACTGGTCAGGGACAATCTAGGTATGGCTACGCCTATGTTCTACTATGGGTATTTCTGATGCTTCTGGGCTTTGCTGGTTGCCCCTGCTCTTATATCTGCTATATGTGTCGGGGGTTTTTTAAGCCTTCCTCAGAGGCAGCCAAAGCTTGGCACTTTGACTGACGGGTGCCAATGCTCCCGCTGGGACTAAAGCCAGAGGTTCCTGGCTAGAGGGTCTTGCCTCTCCCCTCAGCGTCAGACTGATCACCATATATATGGTCAGAAAGGAATTTTACTCCATGATCAGTTTGGTATGGACCGGGGCGGGGGGGGGGGGGGGGGGGGGTGGCGAGGATGCTTTACTCTGTAACAGGGGCTGTGACCCTCTACCCAGGATTGTTTGAACATATATTGACATTTCACAGAAACAGAACATTGGCTGCCAGGGTTGCCTTGCTTTCCTTGTGGCAGGTTAGGGTGTTAGGTCTGTGTTGTGTCACAGGTGTTGGTAGTACCATGAGGAATTTAGATTATTAGGCAGGAGGCCATAACAGATGACCACTTGAGGTTTCTTCTGACCCTATTTTTCTACGATTCTGTGATTATATTTCAATAACAATTTTATACTTTTTATTCCTGGGTATTGATTAATCAAAATTACAAGAATAAAGCCCCCAAATTAGAGCCCTTGTTTTCCCCTTTGTTATAGAGAGAATACTAATTGATATCAACATTAATGTGGCAAAGGGTATAACGGCAGAATGGGGCTGGTTTATTTGCCTGTTCTTTCCCCATTTTTTTACTGCATACAGACTTCAATGGCTCATTCATTTCTACTACATCATGGAAAAATACATCATATTGGCAATATTTTACTCATGCATTTAACACTAACTTCTACCTATTCAAACAAATACTACAGATGGAAAGTTTATGCCAATCTTCACCAAACTTTTTTCACTGAGGTGAGAACTTCTACTAATATAAGGATATATAATAATGTAAAACATTCTATCTTATTTTAAAGGTTTACCCCTAAAAAGCATATGTTTAATAAGAAGGTTATAAATAGTTAAAAAGGTCTTTCAGGAAATAGAGAAAAGTCAAAGAATTATATGAGAGTGCCAAAGGGCTACACTACTATGTATGTGCTGTGTATGGAGTCATGCTGGGGAAGGTATCAAGTAAAGAATTTGTTTTTGATGGCATGCATTCAACATTGAAGCAAGACTGTGACTAGGAAGAAATCTGTTGTATTGTTTTTTAAGAAGTAAAAAATATTACAAATTACTTACCTCAAGAACCAACCAGAGCTGGTCTCCATTCTTCACATCTTTCTTGTAGTACATTCCATAGAATTTGACTACATTGGGATGATCAGAAAGAGCTCTCAAGATGTTGTACTCTGATTCAATTTCTTCATCAATGTCCTATGGTCATCACAGAAATAAACAGCAGTTAGCAAAGGCAAAGCACATACAAAGACCACCCTAACCCCCCTGCCCCCACATTATTTTCAAGTTATTCAGGTTGTATTTAAAATACAGCAACATCAAATGAAACATTAGTTCATCTTTTACAGTACCGTAAGGTATATATTTCAGGTATTTCAGTCCCACTGAATATATTTAACTGTACAGAATAAAGATCACCTCTGGTTTACATCATCTTCCATCAATTTAAGCCTGTGAAGTCACACACATGACCTGGGCCATATCTGGCCCATGGAACCATTTTCTTGAGCCCACAGAACTCCTGGTGGTCCTGGGAATTCAGGAGTGGGGTGAACAGAGATGGTCTTTGACAGCAAAGAGGGAAGCTATGGCTACACTGACACAGCACCACTTGTTTCAGCAGCATGTACCCCACCGCTGCTGGGGTTGTATACAACCTGGGGAGTGGGATGAGTTTGACACCCTAATCTAAGCTAAAGCACGGGGTAGAAGAGAGGCCATCAGAAAAAAAGACACTCTTGTGTTTCAAGTAGTCACAATTTGATGGGGCCTGCAGGCAGCCAAACCAACTCCCAAAAGTGGGGAGTGCTGACTACTGTCACTTCATCCAAAGGGATATTATTGAACCCCCTAGAAGTATTTGCAGTTTCTTTCCTCTGGGATATTCCTGCAAGAGAGCCAATAGCATTCCTACCACTTGCCCTCCCTTTAGTAGTGGGCTCCATTAGTTGCAATCTTGATTTATTGCCTTCTCCCTCTGACAGAAGACTTTAGCTCAGCCACCTTCTATTAGCAGCACTCATCCAGCATCCAGTACATAGAAATATTTGCTTTGAAGGAAAGGTTATTAAAAAGTGACAGCATCAAGGCTGAATTTGAAATTTTACCAGAGTAATTGAATTTTACTGACCAATACCATCTCACTGTTTTCTTATGCTCTCCTGTCTGTCGGTCATTTGTTGTCTTTTGTTTCAGGTTGTTCTTTAGGCAGTAACAACAAAAGAAAAAAATCTCTTGGTACTAGGCACCATACATTCACCTACCAACAAATCCCAGATCCATGACCAGGGTTCCTATGTAATAATGGCTTAACAATAAAACATTATTACGCTAAAAATATACTATAGGTTTTATCCAGCTAGATACGGTCTAAAAATCTTACATGTGCAATGTATCCTGATAGCTAGATATTGTGATGACTATGAGAGTGAATATGGTAATTTTGGAACAAGGTAGAATATAACAGCTTGGGATATGCCTTAATACTGATATTTACTCTCCAAAGAACACCAACCATTTTATCTAGTGAAGGCACCGGATAAGCTCCCCTCCCTTGACAGTGGGACCCATGTCTTCCCTCAGCATGAAGTCAGAACAGCCACTGTTGCTTTATTCTCAAAGTCCCTGACAGAGGAGACCACAGCATTTGTTTGGGTCCCACTGAATCACTCGGAAATTTGGAATCACGTCTCAGACTGTCTGGAGTTCCTGAAGTGCAGAGTATGCAAGATCTGGATTCTAGGGGAAGCCCAAAGTTAATGGGGCTTTGTCAAGGACACACAAAAGGACACTACTAGCCTCTGCTTGAATTATTGCATCCATCCTTAGGGACAGGGAGATCACAGCAGCAGCTCTTCTGGTCACATGCAGAGATATGGGACAATTAAAGTGATCACAACTGCCACCTTTTCCCTCTTAGATCTTCATGTACATGGATATACATATTTATTCCAGATAATATAACCTCAACTTGTATTATCATCTACATAAAGCTGTTGTACAAACAGCTGCCATGATTTCAAATGCCAAAAATACCGGTATAGAGGATGATCACCTTCATGACACCTTTGTCTGGGTCCCAGAGAAAACTGACTCCAAACATCCTCTCTGTCTGGCTGGGCAGGCCAAACACCTCAGTAATAGGCAACTGCCTAATGCTGAACTCAGATAAAATGGAGGTTGTGAGGACAGAAGAAAAGACGTGCTGGCCAGTTCCAAGGTCTGCTCTTACCTGGCCCCTGAACAAAGGCTTCTACCCTCAAAATGCCTTCCCCTCGCCTCTGTCCAGGGCTCCAATAATTTATCTTGTACACCATCTCCCCACTGGATTCGGAGTCAAAGTCAAGGTTTCACTGCTAGTCTTAGGCTAGGTATGGGAAGGGTCTTGAACATGAAGAGCCTTTGCTTGTGACAACAATGTCCTATGAGATATCTTGGAGATAAGTCCTGCTAACTTCAGTGACTAAGCTTGTGAAAAATAGAGGAAAGCTTAATTCAGCCAGATGACTGAGGCTGGGGTGCTTCTCAGAAATCCCCCAATCTTCCAGATGACTGCAAACTTTCTTCTCAACATGAGTACAGTACTTCCACAGATACTATTCAAGATATTGCTGAAGAACAGACAAGGAAGAAGAGTAAAATGCAAGGTAAGAAGGGGGGAGAAAAGAATAGGAGGAGAAGGGTATAAGTCATTAGCAAAAAAAGCCTGCACACAAAAAGCCAAATGTTACAAACAAGTACACAGTAGCCCTAGCTGCCTCAGGGAAACTAAGATGAAAATTAGTCCACTGTCCTACTGTGATTTAATGGAGGTTATTGTCTCCTGAGGGGCATTCAGATTTTATGTGATTTGCATCATTACAGGAAAAATGAGAGCATGAGAGAGTATGAATAGATTATTCATTCTATCAGTAATGGAAAGAAAAACTGCATTTCATGGGGAAGAGAACTGGATATATTTCGTGCAGATTAGTGTATATATCATAAAAATAATTTCATAAAACCCAAATTGCTAGTAAAGGCTACCTTCCTAGAAGCAAGAAAAGGGATTTTTTATGTTTACATAATTGAGACTTAGATTTTTAAACTGAACTATCTATCAAATGCTACTAATGCTTTCTAATCAAGAAAAAGATGAGACTGAGAGCATTTTTAATACAAATGATAAAATTGCTATTTTTTCACAAATACTCTTTCTGTTTCACTTTTATACTTTTTGAATTGAGATTTAACCCATAAAAGAATTCAAAATGATTAGAGAAAGACACCATCGCAATCTCATATCACTCAAAATATGGTAATTTATTAGAATTATTTGAAAATACAGACTATGTTTTATATAGTCATAATGTTTGTCCATCTCTCCAGTTTGACCATAAGGTATAAAATAATAAGAAATAAAACTATATAAAATAATAAGAAGGGAGCAATTAAAGTGCTTTTTTCTTCATTGCAATGGCTCCCTCTGCAGCCATTAATGATTCTTTCAGTTTATTATATTCCAGGAAGAAATACTGTATTGAAAATAGAGTGGATGGAATATTAGAGTGCAATTGTATGCACCCGCAGATTAGGTACATTGGACCTAGTGGTGAGATGAAGAGTCATATTAAGTGTTGTTTGTTTTTTAAGGATAAAAATTTAAAGCAAAACCAACTAGAAATTAATTTTTAAGAGTTCTGTGTCTAATGCATTTGACTTGCTAGTTACTGGCAACCTGCTCATAGCCCAGCAATTTGTTTACAGAATCAAGTGCCTATTTCTAGGGCTATTAAATTAGGTTTACAATTAAATAAACATTTTCACAAAAAAGTTGAAAAATTCCAGTTTTGCATTTTCAGCTGAAAATTATTTATTTTTGAATGGAAATTCTAAACGTTTTGGATGAATTTGGAAAGATTTTTTTTAAGTTATTTTATTTTTTTTTAATTAAAATTTTGGCCCAAAGGAGAAGTCATTATTTTCAACTGACTTTTCCATTTAAAAATGTTCATTTTCTCACCAGCTTCACATATTTTCCTCATTGTTCCCCAAACTATTTTTTATTCACTATGTTCCTTCCACTCTTCCTGGTTCCTTTGAATTCTCTTTCCTCCTCCTCTGAATCATTTCTCCCTCCCTTCAACTCACCCCTGTCATCACCCCTATCTCTTCTCACCTCCTATCTTTATCTTGTGTCTTTTCTTTCCTCTCTCAAGTACTCCCAGCACTGCTGTTTGTTTCCCCACTTCCTTCAATAATTCTTTCCTTAAGCAGTGACTGGTTAGGAAATGTTTTTGCATGCCTGCAAAATACGTTGATTCACAAATACTTCCTGCTATGCAGGCATTCAGATAAACTTGGATTACAAGGGAGCTCTGATTACTCAGAGTCAGCAGTAGGACTGAAAGACCCTGTCTACAGAAAGCAGCAAGAATCTATAACATGTTTTGGTGCATTTAAATTCATTTCATTAAGACTGCAATCTCTTGGCTTTGAATCATTTTTGCCTTTGAAAAGTAACATGATAATAAATGGAGAGTGGGTCCTATTTTTTGCACTGAAAAAACTCTAGTGAAAACCAGAAAAAGACTAACATGAACCACAATGCAAAATAATTGTATTGTAGGTTTGTGAAATTAATACATTTCACAGAGCTTTAGGCAACAAGGAAGTATTTTGATCATCTGATCTGACCTTTTCCGTGACAAGCTATTTAACTAAAACAAGTAGAGATGTCTCATTGTAACTAGAGGTGCATCGATGTATTGGTCCCATACTGTATCGCACCAATATAAGGAAAATTGACATTATCGGCAATTGGGTTTGACTGATGTTGCCTGTAATGTCACCAATAAATGCCCTGTGCATGCACACAGCTGCAGCACAGCATGCAGGTGACCAGGAGCTCAGCCTGGCAGCGTGGAAAGCAGTGTCCAGCTGGTAAATCTGTTGTGGAGGAAGGGGCGTGGGGAGGGAAGGGGCGTGGGGGGGCATAGACCGAGGCCCCCATGGTGGGGAAGGAAGTGGGGCTCAGGCTGGGGTAGGGGCAGGGGCAGGCACTGCCTAGCTGGGGCAGGGCAGGGCATGGGATGGAATGCGTGAGCGGTTCGTCTGGGGAGTGTGGAGAGAGGGGGGCAGCTCCTGCCACTACACCCACCCCAGGAG